TTTTCCATTAAATTTATTGCAATCTCATTCAAGTTTAGTTGTATTATTTTCAAATTTGAGTGGCTTAAATTTAGTTTTAACTTTTGTATTTTAAGATGTTATTTAATAAGTTTTTTTTTTTTAATTTTTTTAGAAAAACAATCTTCTATTGATAATTCAGGTAAAGCATTACAAAGTATTTTTACCTTAGAAAGAGGCACTCTAGCAATTTATAATTCTTATATGCCACAGCACATAAATCCCTTAAAACATAAAATAGCTCAAAAATAGATGCTTGTATTGATGACCACTTAAAAATTTTTAAAAAAATGAAATTGAAAAAAATTAAGTGTGAAACATGTCCAATGACGAGTATCTTTCTAAATCCACTACCTGTTTTCTTAAAAAATGTTGGACCTTCTCAATTATTTATCTTTTTGAATTCAATGAAAGATATTTCCAAAAACTAATATATAAAACGATATTATATTGTCAGGTGTTGTAAGAACCAATGGAAACAATCTAATGGAAATTGTTCTTACTCCTCAAAGCAAGGAAGAATTGCTCTTCTAAGCTAGATTTGTAAGGATTTCAAATTAGAGGTCAATTTCACCTCAGACATAGACCTAATGCAAAATGAGAGTGAGTGTGTGCAAGGGGCATGCCACTCCAATAACTTGAACAATAGCAACCACAAAAATAGCAACATTTATCCCACAACAAGTAGATAAAGCATGTAAAGCACCCAATATGTATAGCATCCACAAACACACCTACTTAAACAACAAGAGGGGACTCACCTAGTACCCCATGCCAACTGCAAAACATTAGTGGCATAGAGCAACCAACACTCAGCATAAAATAAGATATAAATAATTGCAATAGAGTGAAGGAACTCACCATGTACTCGATAGCCAAATGTAAAAGGTAAATACACCTACATTCAAGCAAATAAGCATCTGATATCATGATGCATGAGCATGTGAGAGGAAAAGATGCATGAGCATGTGAACAAAGCATGTTTTATGTCATAATGTGGCAAAATAAACAATCAAGGGTAGAAAGGTAAAAGCAACCACCACAAAGCAAGCAACAAGCAAGACTCAAACTAACAAAGACTCAAAAACCAAAGAAAATAAAAAACTAAAAATCCCCAAAGTTAAACTATTAGCTCGACTCTCATGAACCTAGAATATGAAAATAAGAGATTCTGGGTTTGATCCTTGGTGGAGTCACCAATTTGTTGACAACCACTTAAAAATTTTTCAAAAATGAAATTGGGAAAAAAATAATTAAGTGTGAAAGATTAAAGAAATTGGAGTTACCATTTGTTCCAATTATAATATGAGACAAGTTACTTAAAATGGTCTACGTAGAAATTGGAGTTCAAGCATTTAGTTAGAAGTAAGGAAGGGTATACATTCACCTCATAATCTTTCGTATGAAATACGATTGTATACTTTAACATTGGGGTTTCAATTCAACTTGTTTATTCTTTAGGTCTTAATTGAGTAAGTTTGAAAAGTAGGTGGACAAAATTGCAACATTTTAAAACTTTAGGATTGAATTGGATAAAATCAAGGACATACATGCACATGTGCAACAAATTAAAAGTTGAATGACTGATTTTACTAAATTTGGAATTTGAAGGATGAATTTGCAATTTTTATAAATTTGTGGACCAACTGCTTAATCACAGAAAACTTTGGCAGAATTAGAGTTTGGTAAAAAGATAATTTTGACCTTTTAATTTTGACCTTGATGAAAGAAAAGTAGACAATTTTAAATTAATTAATCATGATAATTAATTTAATTGAATGATTAATTTAACATTAATTAAGATTAATTATAGTTAGTCATGTTCATTATTCTTTACTATAATCAAAATAATTAGGAAAATCTAATTAGCTTAATTAAGATAGATAAATTTAATTAATTTACTCTAATTAAAATCAACTAATTCTATTAACTGTACACTAAACTAATCATCATAATCATTTTATTATATTTTTTTGGTTTTGTTTTTAATCCATAATAATGCCTAAACTAAACGCGTTAGGTTGATCGTCTCCAAAAACAAAATCCAAACATTAAACGATAAAAACAAATCAAACAAGGCACAGCATTTTTTCGGATTTTATGGTTCATATATAATCATTCCATTTCGAGCGAGAATTTTACCAAAACAGTAACAATTCACTAATCAATAACGAAATTTATGATTTCCAGCAAGATAAACTTGTAATTTCATATGTTAAGATTTTGAATTTTTAAGTTTTAATTTTTTACAATCCAGCAAGGCAACTGAGTGTAAAAAACTAA